GGAAGCTCGATTGGCAAGAGCAATATTCGGCCTGTGCAACTGAACTGAACTGAACTGAACTGATCTGAAGAGCACATTTCGGACGCACACTCGCAGTGATTCCGTCAGTGATGTCAAACTCTGCAAAATCTGAGGATATCTTAGGACTGAGGTTAGACCGATGCATTTCAGATACACTGATTAAAACAGGTAAGTCAACTCAATTTTTTTCTTTGAAGTTCTAGGTTCGGGGGCTTTTATGGGTATTATTTTCTCCGTGCTATTGGCAAAAAGTAAGCTTTTTACTGTTCCCTCTGATGATTTATAGGGAGACCGTGGCCTGTTGTTTTCGGTACCGGTCTGGGGCTTGGTATGAGTATTGCTAATTGCAACAATGATTTCAAACAACCACTGCCTCTTGTTTCTCATCGTATTAAAGTAAGTTCCTTCCCAAATTGCTTGATCACCTGTTCTCCTTATGTAGGGTAGCGAGCAGAAATAAACGCTTCGAAAACTGTGATGCTCTAGAATTTTGAATATATAGTTTGAAATAATTGTGGTGTTTTTAATACATTATCTTACTCATGTAGTGTGGTGAATTTACATTGCGCTGCGATCCTGATTATTGGGAAATAATGGGTTCTTCTCCAAACTGCTTTCCTCTCGTTGGAAAACTTATCTTCTGAGCCACTAGACCTTCACCTGACCGCGATTAGACAGTTACCTTATGTTGACTGTTTACAATGACATTTTCAGCATGTGCTGAGCTGCGTCGCGTAAGGAAACCAATTGATCGAGCTTAGTACTTCGATCTCGAGGAATATACTGTAGGAAGAACAATGTGGGTGACAAGCTTTGACATGTGTATATAGACCCGCATTATGAGATCTACAGGGGCAAAACTCACTGGAAATTGTGCCATATTCGAGGTGATATGAGAACGTATGAAAGTTGGCAATAAAACAAAATACGGCCTTTAAATTGAAAAGGAGTGGTGTTTTGAAAGTAAAACAGTGTTGATATACATTATTATCCTTAGTTGTCAGGATAACGTGATCCTGCCATTTATTTTGGAACTTGAGGTTAACTTGTTTTCATTACTGTCCGAAATTTTTATTAAGGGTCATCCAATCATGATTCGCAGGAAGCATATATATGACTGTCCGCATGTTAATTGACCTCGAATACAGATATTGACGAGCTTTCAGATTCCGCAGTCGATTTAGTGGTAAACCACTTACCGCACTGTGTGGCAACGAGCCCGGGGGAACGTAACAGTCTCAGTATTGACGATAAACAGGTAGGATGTCTGGTCATTAGTCTATTTATCAATACCCACCCGGTTTGGTGCAATCGGCGACGTTTTCCTAATTATCTTGCGCGCCAA